GACATGGTGATGTCAGCACAACTTGACCAATGTAAATAAAGACACTGGAAAGTACACAAGAAAAGATACAATTTCAGTAAATACTATATAGCATATACAACCACCAACAACAGTAAGAACAACCCAAAAAATGTGTGTGGTTATATAGGTAGATATGAATGCATATTTGTGTATTGGAAGGCATATGTGAGTAAATGCACATGCATGTTTAGGTGTATCTGATGTAGGCATATGTATATGCGTGTTTGTGGGTGCTGCACATATATTCACATATATAACCACAGAGGCTTTCTAGACTTGTGGTATTGGTTTACTGGGTTAAGAGGCTTGGGACCATGGTCCCAGGGAATTTAGTCAACTGGCATAACATAGTTCACAGAGTTAATGTTCTACATTCTAGTTTGGTGAGTAGCGTCTGGGGTCTCACAAGCTTGGCAGCTGCCATCTAAGGTACAGCTATTGGTGTGTACTCACATGGACCAGAAGAGAATGGAGAAAATTAAAGGTTCGCAGAAGAAATGAGTCCACAAGAGTAATAGCCCACATGAACCGTAACCTCTTCTAACCTGACACCAGAACTAGATGGTACTCGGCTACCACTACCAACTGTTCTGTAAGGGAACACAATAGAAGGTCCCAGACAGAATGGGAGAAAAATTTAGAAAAGAACTCAAATCCCTAAAAAGGCCAGATCTGCTGGACCAATTGATTAGAGGAACCCCTGAGACTTTTGCCCTAAGAACTTGGAATTGAAAGCTATTTCTGCAGGTTTCTTTTTAGCCAAATAATAGATTAACTTATAAAATAAACAATATGACTCCTGAGGAATGTGCTCCCTCAAACAATTAACTATATGAAACTGAATGGTCAACAAGCAAAGATGAGAAAGCAAGCTGAAGAAGAGAAACTAGATCAGTGGAAACAGAATGGAAATAATGAGAATGCTGACACATTGTAAAAATTGTAACCAATGACATGGGATGACTTGTATAAACAAATTGTTAAAGGGGAACCTAATTTGCTGTGTAAACTTGTACTTAAAACACAATAAAATACTTTTTCAAATGTGCTGAATGTGTTCAATGTGCCAGGCACTGTTCTAGGTGCTTGGGATATGTAAGAAGAGAAGAGACGAGTTTTTCCTGTGGAAGTCCTCCCAACCAGTGCATTAAAAATTGCATGCATTAAAATCCATAGACTTGTTGATAGATCAGTAATGGTTTGTAGGGCAGAGGACAATGTCAATAATAACTTGTAGATTTCTGATTTGAATGGATGTTAGTGACAATTATTGAGATGTAATACCTAGAAAAGTACACAGAGAAAAGTTCACAGAGAAAGAGTTCATATTTGGTTCATATTTGGATGTGCTAATTTTGAGGTGGCCACTCTGGTAATATAGTGCCTAAGCCACTTAACTGCTAAACAGAAGGCTGGAAGTTCAAACCCACTAGCCACTCCTTGGAAGGAAGGTTAGGGAAATCTACTCCCGTAGTAATACCGCCTCAGAAACCCAAGGAGGGGTCGCTATGAGTTGGGTCTGACTCAGCGGCACATAACAACAACAATGATTTTGAGGTGCCTTTGAGCTTCTGGAAGGAGCTCTGATGGTGTAGTGCCTAAGGCATTTGACTGCTAACCAGAAGATTGGCTGTTCAGACTTACCAGCCACTCTGCAGAAGAAAGACTGGGCAATCTGCTTTCATAAAGATCTACCATCTCAGAAACCCAATGGGGGTTGCTATGAGTCAGAATTGACTTGATGGCACTGAGTTTGGTTTGGTTTCTGTTTTTGAGCTTCTGGAGCTCAGTGTAGAGGTCTAGTAATAACTAAATATGTGGACATAGATGGTAATGCCCAGAGACAAGATAGTGAAGAGTTACCAGGAAAAAAAGTAGAGAGAGAGAAACCGCAGAACACTTAAAGAGTTTAATAGAAAAGAATATTGGGGGGTGGAGAGAAATAGAGATAATGAGTAGACAACAGCTCTTTTAAGAAATGTGTTGTAATACAATAACACTAAGGAAAAGGAAGACACAGAGAGGTGCATAAGAGGTACAGGCAACAAAGAGAAACCCTTTCACATAAATAATACTGCATTATCAGTGAAAAGGAACATTAATCTACGGGTAAATAGATAAGTTGATCCGACTCATAGTGACCCCTTCTTGGGTTTCTGAGCTGGTATCTCTACAGAGGTAGATTGCCCAATCTTCCTTTCTAGGAGTGGCTGTGGTGGGTATGAACTGCCAGACTTCTGGTTAGCAGTCAAATGTCTTGGGCACTACTCCACCAGGGCTCCTAAATAGATGAGTACACTGGCTGAGTGATCAGGTATGTCTAGGCAAAAGGGAATATACCCATGACCATATATAAAGTTGGCAGATGATATTTCTATGTACGCATTTGTGTGTGCTGTAAGAATGTCCATATAACTAGAACTAATAGAGGGCAAACTTATGATAACTTCTTAGGCACAGTCAGTGAGTTGTTGGACTTTAGGGCTTGGGACCATGGTCTCAGGGGACATCAGACTCAGTTGGCATAACATATAACACGAAAACATTGTCCTACATCCTACTTTGGTGAGTAGCGACTGGGGTCTTAAAAGCTTGCAAGCTGCCATCTAGATGCAACAATGGGTCTCTACTCATCCAGAGCAAAGAATGAAGAAAACCAAAGATGCATGGAAACAATTAGTTCAGGGGACTAGTGGACTATGTGAACATCAGCCTATAGGACCATGAAACCAGAGGAACTAGATGGTGCCTGGCTATTGCTGTCAACTACTTAGAAAGGGATCAGTGCAGGAGATCCTGGGTAGATTGGGAGAACAATGTAGAACAAAACTCAAAATCATAAAAAAAAAAAAAAAAAAGAGTAGGTTTACTGGTCTGATAGAGCCTGGTGAGACCACCGAGACTATGGCCTCTAGTTACCCTTCAGGTCTGGAAATGAACTCACTCCCATGGCTTCCAGACAAGCAATAGACAGGCAGATAAGGTGAACATTTACATCAGGTAGATACAGTCCTTAGAATGATAAATTGTGAGAGAACAGAAGGGTAGCATTTACACAGGGAGATAGCTTAGGGGCAGGAATGCATAGGAAAGAAGGACACAAGGAAGAGGTAGCTATAGGGAGGAAGTGGGAAAAGAAATGTTATACTGTGGGGAATTGCAGTCAATGTCCTGAAGCAAAATGTGTATGAATTGCTGTATGGAAAATGAGTTTGCTCTGTAAACTTTCACCCAAATCACAATAAAAATTAAAAGTAAAAGAAATTTGTTGTGCAAGGTAGGTAATAGTAATAGCTAGAGGGTTTTGCGAGGTTGAGTAATGACTTCTTTTTACATGGGGGATATTTATTGGGATTTTTAACTGTGGATATACTGTGATGATTTATTGCTCTCTACAAAACATGTAAGGAGCCCTGGTGCGGTGTTTAAATGCTTGGCTGCTAAACAAAAGGTTGGTGATTGGAATCCACTCAGAAGCTCTCTGGGAGAAAGACCTGGCAATACACTCACATAAAGATCACAGCCTAGAAAACCCTATAGGGCAGTTCTACTCTGTCACATGGGGTCGCTGTGAGTTGAAACAGACTATACAACAGCAACAATAATGTAATATATAAGAGTCTCTGGGTGGTGCAGATGGTTAAGTTCTTAACTATTAGCTGAAAGGTTGGTGGTGGAAACCCACCCAGAGGCCCCTGAGAAGACAGGCCTGCTGATGTGCTTCCAAATGGACACAGCCTTGAAAACCCTATGAAGCAGTTTTGCTTTGCACACATGGGGTTGCCACAAGTTGGAATTGATGTCAACTTGTTAACAACAACAGTATGTAACACGTAGTAATGCATTTAGTTATTTTGAATGTCCCTTGTATGATATTATACATTTATATGACTCATGTTGTTGTTATGTGCCATTGAGTCGGACCCGACTCATAATGACCCCTCCTTGGGTTTCCGAAGCGATATCACTATGGAAGTAGATTGCCCAACCTTCCTTCCAAGGAGTGGCTGGTGGGTTTGAACCGCCAGCCTTCTGGTTAGCAGTCAAGTGCCTTAGGCACTATGGTACCAAAGCTCCCTATATGACTCATAGTTCTGAATATTTTACATTTAATTTCAGAGGAAACTAGTTTAGCGCTTTGGTGTGGTTTTTTTTTTTTGTTGTTGTTAACTCAGTTTTCTACACTAAGAGTACAGTAACCCTCTAACATGTTTTTTTCTATTCAAAAATATAATAAGAGGCAAACATTAAATTATGAAAACAGTCTTTTCATAGCTGGTCTTGACTTCCTTATGGCATAGTCATTCTTTTGCTTGTCTCAAACTGAATTGGATAAGGAAGAGGCAGCTAGAAGGAAGTTCCAGGTATGAAGTAGTTTACCCAGATGTAAGTCTTCTCAAGAATAATTAATACTCTCTCTTTACTTGACATATTTTGTAGAGCATATTTATCTGTGGCTTTTTTGCAAATTAACTAAAATTATATTTTAATTTATATCCATCAGAGAAATTTAAATCATTGAAATGACCTCAGAGAGGGGAGTATAGTCAAGTTTTAATAGGCCTTATGATCCATTGTCAGCCCTCTCCTCTCTTCCCACCTACTCCATCCACACTGTTAGCTAAATCGTTCCAGATTTACCTCAGGAGATTTAGATGTTTCCTTTGATGCCTCAAAATGCTGCCTAGAAATATGTAACTAGCACATTCATTATTATGAATAAGTTCTTCGGATGATCAAGGAAAGTAAATGAAAAGAAGAAAAAACTTCCCTTGAAGGTAAAATGAAATGGCTCACTAAGATAGGATAAGGAAGAAAATTCAAAGATGTTACTGAGCTTAAGCATTACTATTATTATTTTATATCCCCCAACATGTTTCTCTTGACCAAGGCTTTTACTATTGTATAAATTCATAAATATATTTTCCATAGTAACAGCAGTGCAAGAGTGATGAATGGTTTATTTTCTTCTTTCTCAGGCACAATAACCTTGGTGCACGGCCAAAAGGGCTATCCACGCTAGTGAAGAGTGGTGTCCCTGAAGCATTGAGGGCAGAGGTATGGCAGTTGTTAGCAGGCTGCCATGACAACCAGGCAATGCTGGATAGATACCGAATTCTTATCACAAAGGTAGGAATCTCTTTCCATCTTCTTTTTACATGGGACAAAGCATTAAATAAATACTATTTCTGTAGCTCCCATATGTCACGAATGCTTTGAATTTCCTTAAAATAATGTATTGGTATTGTGCAATGAAGTTTTGTCTTTTGTTCCAAGCACTTGTTGGATAGTGGTGAACAATGCAGTGTATCATCTCTGAGCACTTTGTGCCTTGGCTTTCACTTTTCTGCTCAGGCGACTTTATAGTAACTATTTACCAAACTGGAAAATATTTACATTTCAAGTCTTTTCTTATTATTTACTTAACCTTTTCTCTTTTTTTAAATGAGGAATATATATAGTTATACTTGTACACGGTTATTCTAGTATGATTTAAAAATTAAATTCAAAGGCCTTCTCTGCTCACATAAGCTTATATTTAAGTAGTATGGATAGTTGCTGAGGCCTCTATTCTGTTAGGAGTCCCTTGTTCCAAAGTAAATTTTCTTGCCTTTGTCTTCAAGACTAGTTTTAGAACACAGGCAAAGTTAAGTTTTGGCCTAGACCCTGGAGTCTCCTTTTAAGGATCTCACCTTCTAATTTCTTAATTTACTCTAAATCATAGAATTTTAAATAGTAGTACCAGTCTATTATTTTTTAAATCTCTCTTAATAAATGAGATTTTTTTAATTATTATTATTATTATTATTAAGAGAAAGCACTTGTCACTGAGTCCATTCTGACTCATGATGATCCCATGTGTATCAGAGTAGAAGTGTGCTCCATAAGGTTTTCAGTGGCTGTGAGCTTTCGAAAGTTGATCACCAGACCTTTGTTCTGAAGTACCTCCTGCTTTTTGATTAGTAGCCCAGCACTTAAGCATTTGTGCCACTAGGATGTCCTGAGATTTTTTTTTATAACCAAGACTTCATTCCTTAGGCAATACCAACTTTAAAAATTCTTCAGTCTCTTTAATTCCTTCTTCCTTTCCTTCTCTCCTTGCCCACATCTCTTCCATGAATATATCTCAGGTATTCAGTATATTCAGTCACTGCCAAATTCAAGTTTAAATAAAAAACAAACAACTTTACCTTTTTTTTTTTTTTTTTTTTAAGATTAGTGGTTTTCACAACCCAATACATACTTAAGATGATTGAAATGTTGGGGCAAAAAACGTCTAAAGTTTCATTTGCATTGTTTTGTTTAAAAGCAAGAGGATATTTATACAGATAGTCTCTTGACTTAGGATATATTTCAGTTATGACCATTTGCACTTAAAACTGTTCACTTTTTTTTTAAATACATCTTATCATTAGTAATATGTATGTACTACATGCATTGTTGCAGCATATAATTTGCTGATGTTGTCATACCTGTAAGTTTATGTATGTTTCCTACCCTACAAAACAAATAAAGATTGGATTTATAAAGGCACTGATAACAAAAGGCAATAATAATGAAAACTAAAAAAAATTATAGTAATGAGGTATTTTATTTATGTCAGAACTGATTTATGGCAGAGTTGTTCAAATAGAACCTTGTTGTAAGTTGGGGACCACTTGTACTGATACTTGCTGTGCTATGGTACTGAGACCTCACTGGGTCCTTGGGTCTGATGGCTATTTTCCTATGAGTTTCAGGAGTAGCCTGAGGGAACAGTAGGAATTGAACGCATTGGAGCCAATAACTTTAGTGCCTACTCTCATATATTCACTTTTAGAATATTGCAGTATCCTGCAGTGCGTGTATATGTGTGTTTGTATCCATGCATATACATACTCACACACAAACACATGTATTTGCTTCCTCCCTTCTGAATCTGTGTTTGTTAATGAAGAAGAAAGGGATAGTAAGATATTGGGTAGACGACTACCTTTCTTTGTCATAGTAACCTGTGTCTTAATGTTGGCAATAGTTGAGATTTGTTGTAGAATAAGTTACTCTAAAAAATATGTGAGCCTAGGAGTTTATTTATTTTAGAATGGAAAATGTTTGCTAATTGCCACTTTAGAATGACTAACAATGTACAGTTGAAAATAGTATAATCAATATTTCTACATTCAGTTTATGAAAATCAGTGACAACATAAAAATTTAAATTTATTTCTATTGCTAACAGTGCAATTTATCAAAAACAACATTTTCATAGAACAATGTAGAGTGTGTGGCTGTGATCATGTGGTTTTTATGCAAGCTCTTAAGTTATAACATTTCTGTGAGAGGAAGTACAATAGCCTATTTAATTCCATTGTCTTCCTTGTGTCATAGCTAAAGATAATATGATGGATGATACCATCAATTAAAAAAAATAGTTTTCTCTTTTCTCTATGCTTAGGGATAGAAATGAGGCAGCAAGTATTTGTAGCCAAGAGTGTATTTATGCACTTTGGTGGTGAATATAGCTGAGTTTACCAGCCATTCAGTGGAAAGAGCATGAACACCCAGAGGATTTTCAGGAAGAATTGCCTGCTTATTTGGCACTTGTTGATTATGGTTCAGCAGCTGTTAGTCTCTTCTTTTGGTCTTTTTAATTTTTCCTATCTAATTAAGGGAATGGCAGGATTTCAAGGTCAGTTAATGAAATGGTTCAAATTGAACAAACCGTTGCTTTATAAAAACCAGCCAGAGACCTCAAATTACACAGGGAAAGAGGAATACAAAATATTTACAGAAAATTTACTTAACATGGGACTTGTATGAAAAATGAGTGTAAACCAAACCAAACCAAACCCACTGCCATTGCGTTGTATCCAGCTCACAGAGACCCCTCCTTCAGTTTCCAAGGCATATTTCTACAGAAATAAATTGCCCAACCTTCCTTCCAAGGAGTGGCTGGTGGGTTTGAAACACCAGCCTTCTAGTTAACAGTCAAATGCCTTAGATACTGCACCACCAGAGCTCTAGTTCTCACTTAATTCTATAGTGATTTAGAATTTGAAGCAACAGATCACATTCTGAAGCCTTATTTTTAGGGATGGCTTACTTACAACCAGAAGGCTGGATCTAGCCTTCACATATATGTTGTGTGACCAGCAATGCGTTTAAAAAAATTATATACTCTGACTCAAGTTTACACTTTCTGTTTGTCCATAGACTCACTACTCTTTATCACCTGTCTGGCACTCAAACATACTTGATTTTGTGATTTCATTATACCACTGTTTCAATCTTACCCCTGAGGAAGGAGCTCTCACAGTGTACTTTTAATTGATTAATGTCTATTTCTCCATCTGACCAGGAGCTCTGTTGGTGTAGTGCCTAAGGCATTTGACTGCTAACCAGGAGGCTGGTGGTTCAAACCCACCAGCTGCTCCTCGGAAGGAAGATTGGGCAATCTACTTCCGTAGTGATACCACCTCAGAAACTCAAGGAGGGGTCGCTATGAGTTGGATCCAACTCGATTGCAGTGAGTTTGGCTTTTTGGGTTCCCTACCCAACTCCAGACTCCAGGAGAGCAGGGACCACGACTATTTTGTTCTTCATGGGCTATCATCCTGTGTGTGGCATAAGGTTTCACATATGCTTGATGATTAATGATATTTTTGTTCCTCCCAAGAGGGACTCAAGATCATTTGTTGATTTATTCATATGCTTGTTTATTTATTTATTTTCCAAAAAGTGTGAGCTTTTCACTGTGTTAGGTCCTAAGTAAAGCTGGTAAAATATGAAGCAGTGCCTTTCCCCCAGGAAACTTCTCATCTAGTTGGAGTTATAAGCAATAGGTTAATTTGAGCAGCAGTTCCTGATATTTTAGCTTTTGTGGGTTTTGCCAGGCAGTAGGTAGGAGTCATAAAGAATTACTGGCCTGGAGAGTTTTGTGACAGCCAGTGAGACATGTGGATTGAGTCTCCCATAATCAGTGTATATCAAAGCTAGAGAGTGATTATGAACAGAGAAGGGACTGAGATGTGGAACAATCACACTCTGTGGCCTTGTTGTTTTTGTAATATAATTTACAGAAAATAAAGCTCTACAAATCTGTTTGACTGGTAAGAAACAACTATAGGGAACAAAGGTTTTAAAAGGATAAAAGACACTGGACTAAATTCAAATGGAGATGTACTAGGTCAGGAATTGCAGACCAATTGATAACCTAAATCTGGAGCCAAGGATCAAGCAGGACCAGTCATAAGGGCTGTTATGCTTAAATCCCTGCAGAAATATGTTAACTCCACTGTTGGGATCATAAAGAGCTTTAAAGTGCAACCTGCCTTGGTTTAAAGCAGTAGTTTCACTTTTGGAGGAATTGCTGGTGCTCACTATAGAGGGGAGGCCCTGGCTTCAAATCTCAAGCTATACTGTTTACTAGCTGTGACCTTGGATAAGTTCCTTAACTATATTCAGTCTCAATTTCCTCATTTGTAAGGGGGCAAAATCATACTTATCTTCCAGGATGGTTGTGAGGATTCAGTGAGATAATTCATGTAGAGCACTTAACCAAACTAAACCAACTCATAGCAACCCTGTAGGGCAGAATAGAGCTTCCCCCTAGGGTCTCCAAGACTGAAATCTTTACAGCAGCAGACTGCCACAGCTTTCTCCCATGGAACAACTGGTTGGTGTGAACCACTGACCTTTTTATTAGCAGCCAAGCTATTGAACCACTGTGCAACCAGAGCTCTTTGTGTATCACTTAATGCAGGCCTACTACATAGTAAACATTCACTAGTGATGTGAATACTTTCACCAAACATTCCTGAAATCTTAAGTTCTCTATTGCTTATCACTGATATTTCTTGTTATTCCTATTAAATTAGCATTCTTTGTAATTTTTGAGTTTATCTGAGAGGACTGTAGCAGGATTGTGACCCTGCTGTTTTTATAGAAGCAGGCAAATAGAGTTTAGAGCTTCTGAGTTGAGGATTAACTCTTAATTGCTGGCTTGGGGAACCACTGAGTAATGATCATATTTTCACATGTTCTGAGCCATTTCGCATAGGGAGCTGTGTGTGTTTTAATCAACTTGATTTTTACAGTGTGTAATAGAATTGTACACAGGAAGTCCCCAATTTATGACATATAACTTATAAC